CCCCGCCCGAGCAGGCCTGCTGTCTGTCTGTCTCCCTGTGTTCATCTGGCTGTCTGCCACTTTCCGGATCCGTCCTCCCTTTGTCCCCCGTCTCCATGCTCTGTGTCCCTCTGGGCTGTGTCTCTCTGTCTCCGTGTCCTGTGTCTATCTCTGAGGCTTGGTCCAGGGCCATGTTCCTGGCCTTCCTGCCATCACCTCCCCGCCTCCCGTTCCCGCCTCCCCCTTCTGTGGGGGCAGGTGTACTTTTAAACCACTGGGCTGACCCTCCTCCGCAGCCCTTGTCCTGAGCTGTTCTCAGCCCCTTGGATTCGTGGGTCTGAGGGCGGTCAGCTGTTCTGGACACTTGAAGGCAATAAAACAGGACCCTGTGCTGTGTGTGTGTGTGTGTGTGTGTGTGTGTGTGTGTGTGTGCAGGGTCGGGGCAGGGCCGCCAGGTGGTGGGGTGCCCCAGAGGCCAGTGTCCAGGCTGCACTGCGGCGCCCTCTGGTGGCCGTGCTGGGTCCCTGCGCTCCCTAGCTTTCGGCCTGGGGCTCCTGGTTGCCATGTGGATGTTTCGGGGGCTGGAGTTTAGAAGGCGAGGCCGCGGCCTGGTGTCCGGTGGGTGACTGCCCGGCTCTGCCCACCAGGTGTCCTCATCTCAGCCCTAGAGGACCAGAGGGTGCGGGTGATGGTGGCTGGTGGCTCAGGGCGAGGGGGTGACCGGACGCCGTCGGGGAGCGGGTCTGAGTGTGCTGGGCCTGTCCACGGGCTGCTCAGCACTCCTGTGTGTGGGTTTTGCAGACAGACCAGGCCTCCCTGGCTGAGGACGAGGTGCCTGGAGGTCGCGGGCACAGCTGGGGGAGGGGTCGAGAGCGGGGCTGGCGGGCGGGGGGTTGGTCTGCCCCAGGACCCTGCTCCCCAGGGACTGTCACTCGTCTGCGGACACCCCCAGAGGTCTTTACTGACCCTTCTCTCCCTGTCGCTGGGACCTGCTGGCTGGCGTAGGAGCCCCGGGCCCTGTGTCCAGGCGGCCTCCCCCCTGCATCCACCTTCCCGGCCTCCCCTTGGGGCCGCCTGTCTGGGCCTCCCTCCGCCACACCCTGCACCCTGCACCCATCTCAGCTCCCAGGCCCTCACTTCTTCCCCTGGGAGGAGGTGGGCCCAGGAAGGTGGGCCCCTGGGCACATGGCGAGGCCCTGGGAGGGACACAGGCCCCCAGGAGCCAGGTGCCCCCACCTGGGCCCATTCTGCTCGTACTCGAAAGGGGGGCCCTGTGGCTGCAC